TATTAGCCAGCCGCTTAGCCGATTTTTTTGCCGGCTGGCTAAGCCAGCCGATAAAAACTTCATGGCTTGAAACACTATTCTAGACATTTTGGTTACACAAAAGTTGTGCAATATCACATGTTATAAACCAATCAAATCGTGGCTTTTAATGAGAAAAAGCATAATAAAATATAATTCGAAGATTTAATAATAAAAAATTATCAACATTTCATCAAATCTAAAAATTACATAAAGTTTCATACTGCGAACAATTTTACTTAATGAATCAAGCCGATTTATTTAGTATAAAACCTCTGTTACAAGCATTGTTTACAAATATCAAACACAAGTTTGAATAAATATATCTCATCAACTAGTAATTTAAATTGAATAATTTTTATACTATTTGGTTTGTCTCATTGAGATGAATTGTATAGTATATAAATTATTTAATTTTAATCGATCTAACATGAGATATCAACAATAATATAACTTTGCTGTTTTACGCATATTCTTTAATAATAGTTGATTAAATTAAGCTATATTCTATCTATTCTATAATTGTACTAAATCTCATTGCCATAATGCTATAAGTCCCACATCTAGAGAAAATAAATAAATAAACTTAAAACATTAAAAAAATAAAATAAATTAATAAAAAAAAAAGAAAAAACTAAAGCTAAATTACGGTCTTGTATTCAAAACTAATTAAGTTAATTGTAATATAAGTAAAAGTTTACAAGCTATGACATACGACATACGACATACACATGTATAAAGCATGAAAAACTCTATGACATCACAGAAATATCTAACATGAATATAAGAAAAAAGAGAAAGAAGCGTAGAAACTAAACCAACCTTAGTGTAATTCTAAGAATTTTTCAGGTCTCATCTACTTTGTCAAATAAGGTTGATCTCAGCTGATTATTGATTGATCCTGAGACTATTAGTTTTCTACTTTTTGTGCAAATAGTTATTATTTGCGATAGATATCACGAAAGAGCAAAAAACTTCAGCCAAAAAGCGTGATTATAAGCCAATCATCGCTTAGGAGAACATTCCAGAATTGATTTCTTTTTTGGTAAAATCCCTGACTGAAATAGCAATTGTATTTTGGGGGTTTGGGATTTGTCCGGGTTTGCCTTCCATTATGAAATTTGACAGGGCGTGCTTATTTATTTTAGGGTTTGTGCGCAATTTAGGGCTAAAAGGAGTATCCCATAGGCGATAGTAAAATTGCACGAGAAAATTTTTTTTATTAGAACCCTAAAGGCGGTTACTATGAATTTTTTTTACGTTACACCAGATCCTGATTTTTAATTGGCCAATTGATCTCGGAAAATCACGTGAACAGAAAATCGATATCGATCCTACGACCTGAGTATATGTAACGATTGACTAAGCTAGGAGGGTTCTAATATCTAACAGCAATAAATCATTTTTAAAATTGATACCAAATTGATTTTTTTGGCGATATTAAGAAAGTTGGAATATCGTCGTTTTACCAGGATTTCACCGGTTTGTTGGGTTTTCAGTTTTGCCAAGATTTCACCGTTTCGCCGGGACTTCGCCATTTCGCCAGGAGTTTTCGTCTTCTGTCTTTTTTGGAGCCTTTCGCAATTTACATAAATGATTTCACCTAACAACTATAGTTCAGCTCCAGACTCTACATCTACTTCTCAAACCTCTCCAGATCCACCATCTTTACCGAATGAATCATCTGCGGACGTTCAAAGTTTCAGACAAAAACTAGGCCTGATAACGGATATATACGCAACAGATCAAAATAATTACATGTTTCCAAGTTCACCAGATACACCGTCACAAGAAAATGATACTTTTCCATCAGATTCGCTTTCTGGCTCAACATTCTTTTATAAACGCCTTGGTAGAGGGCATTCGCATTCTCTTTCCATCGATTCAACAATGTCCATAGATCAACATCCAGTGGTATATTCATTTTCACATGCTTTACTTTCCACCACTTACGAGACAAATGAAGACTCAACTCCAGAGTTAACTCCAAATTTTGTGACTCCAATAGATACTTTCACCCAGAGATCTTCATCACCAAAAACTCCTTTTTTCACAGAACATTCATTATCATCAACTTTTGTTAATATGTCACCAGTGAGTTCATCAGGAAAATCAGCATCGTTGGTGGAAAATCCACCTCGTAAACTTTTGTTACAATCACCAATGCAACAGATTATGAATAGTAGCAGTGTGCAAGATCGTTATTTATTTCTTTTCAATGATTTATTAATCATTGCTAAACCTATTAATACCAATTCACAAAAAAACAATGTATCCACTACAGAGAAACTATATCAAGTTAAACATATCATTGCAATACATCAAATTATCCAAATTGCTCTTACTATGCAAGAAGATCGTGATGCAGCTTTGATTAATAAAACACCGAAAAGAGAACCTTCTGTTATGGCAACATTTTCTCGAAAATTTTCCACAGATCCTCATGGTGCAATAGCTGACATGTTAGAGAGACGGCATATAAAAAATGATCCAGTTCATATTGCAGCATTTCTTTTTAAAAAATCCGAATTAAGCAAACGTCAATTAGGCTTATATCTTTCTAATCAAAAAAATGAGGAAATTATGATCGCGTTTTTGGACAAATTTCGATTTGAGGGTCTCTATATAGATGAGGCTTTACGCGTATTTTTGATGAGTATATGTCTACCACCCGAACAAGAGTCCTTCAATTACTTAATAAAGTCATTCGCAAACCGTTGGTATAATGCAAATGTCAACGTTGTCAAGTTCAATGAAGAAATGTCAATAAAGTTGACGTTTGCTATGTTATATCTCAATTGCGGATTACACGAACGACATAATGCCATGGATAATCAAAATGTCAAGAATGCCAAAAGGACTGATTTCATCACACTTCAAGACTTTGTGAATCGATTTCGTCGAGAAAGTGATCAATTTTGCTTAGTTCCTGATGAATTATTAGAAAAAGTATATTATTCAATTTACGAAGATAAATTAGTGTTTGCATGGGATGACACACTCGAAGATATCTCACCACAAATACCAATAAAACTTCATCCAGCGAGATGGCCAACTCGACTTACCCTTCTTACCCCTTCAGATCCTATCACCATCACAATTCCCCATCCTGATCCTCACTTTGCTATAAGACTTCATGGACAAGATTTGATATTTGATCCGCCTTTGCTTGATTTCACACATACAAATTCATGCACTTTTACCATAACAGGAAAGACATTAGGCCTACATTCCATGGTACTTATTAAGTCTGGGGCACGTTGTCGTAATTATATAAATTTGCCATCCACCAAAATAGTGTTAGTTGAACGGGCCTTTATGAAATGGACATTTCAGATTTCATTTATCACTGACAATGGAATGATACGAAAGTATCATTTTAGTGTTGATTCACAAGAACGTAGACGCATTTGGGTTGAAAGCATAAGAACAAACGTTTTAGAAGAAAAATTACGATCAAATAGTCTTAGTAGTCCAAAGTTTTTGATTATAGACGATGACGATAAAGAAAAAGAGGAGGAAGAAGAAGATACAACGCGATTT